ATTTGCTCTGCGTCCCCAGTGGCCTAAGCTTCATTTTGAGTCAGGCTGAGGATAGTGTTGCAAAACAACCGAGTGAGTATGAATGGGACACTTATTTTGAGATTGAAACAAACATTTTAAGGTTAATTGTGTTAGTGTCCCTTTCTGCTTAAAACTACAAATGTTGTCATTACTGTTACATAAAGTTTCTGAAACATTTGGACCCCAGGGATTTTAAGTCTCACTTCTTTTTGATGCATTTTTGTTGGATAAGGGAAAAGCAACATGTTGGGATACTAAAGGTTAAGGTTCTGCAAATAACTTTTTTTTTTTTTTTTAAACTCAAGGCTTTCTTTGCATCTTAAAGCTGTATTCTTTCGAGTGTCTCAAATGATATTTCATACACTACTGCTTCACCAGCTACTGAAGCTGACTAAACTTCATATATAAAGAGATGTTAGTGCTTGAGAAAGGACTAACCCTGATTTGCAGAGATTTACCACTGCCAGAGAGGAAGAATACATAAGCTCGTCTGTGCCATCCAGTCTTCTGTTTCTCTTCTCATTCTTTCTCTAAGATCTCTAGTTGCCATTTGAGGTATTGTCCGGTGGGATTATACAAGGCAGTTGCCTCTGGGATGGGCTGTTGTGAGCCATGGGCTCTTGGAGGTGTTGGAGCTGAAAGGCATGGAGCCAGGCCGGGGCACATCCAGCACACTGGGTTCTAATGAAACTTCAAAGTCAAAGCTACCTGTGGTGACCACCTTGATTTTTATCACAAAGGCATTCTGACCAGCATATAGCTAGAATTTCCACCTCCCCCCAGCTTTGAAATGTCTGCAGTCTATCTTCATTTTTAAAAAATGCTCTAGTGTATGGAAATGTCTGCAGTCTATCTTCATTTTTAAAGAAATGCTCTAGTACACACTGTTTAACTTGTTGCATACTACTCTCTATAAAATACATCCTTCTTAGCTGCCTAAATGCTAGAGTACAGACTGTAGTTTCCAAAAGTTGTGGTTGTTGACTTAATGCATAGTGATTAAAGTCCTATTGATAAAATAATTACTTATTCTTTGAGTGATGGAAAGAATCTGGCAAACAGAACAAAAATGTTTTGTAACTGTTATGTCACTGTAAGAAAAGATATTTATAAAACAGTGGAACTAAGATTTTACATAATGATAGGCAAGGACATTCCTGAGTCCAAGTCCATGAACTGCGGTTAGTAATAACAAAATTCCTTTTTCTTTTGATTAATTTCCTCCTGTGAACTGATAAATTAATTGAGTATCTTTAATGTCTACTTTATGCTGTCATTTAATAGTATTTTACATATACTGAATATTGTTTTCCTTTATGCCATAGTTTTTTCTCTCTTACTATGTCTTTCAGAAAGCAGCAGGAGAGAACACTTGAAAACACATTCCTTTTATAACAAATACTTCTTTATGTATCACTGCCCTTTTTAATTTACAAGCTTTTCCAGCCCATATGATATCAAGATTCTTGGCTTTTATTCAGGCCTCATGGCTATAACTATATTCCTTTCAGAATGGTCCAAAATGTAATGTGTCATTATCTGGCCAAATTGCAAGTAATATAAAATTATGACTTGTTAACTGCCTTGTCTCCTGACTGGTGTATTCAATAATCTGCTAAACAAGTACAACTGAAGCTATTGGTTATGACATGGAAGCATTGTTCTTGGATATCCAGAGGGAAGTGTAACACAAGTACAACTGAAGCTATTGGTTATGACATGGAAGCATTGTTCTCGGATATCCAGAGGGAAGTGTAACTCTCTTCTCTGTCAATTACTTCAGTGCTCATAACACTACAGCAAACAGGAATGCTGCATTCCCAGCACACAGGGATTCCTCATTCTCTAGAAATTTTGTAGGGAAAGAATTGACTGGAGCGGTTCATCCTAACTGCTCTGCATATGAGTATCACTTTACATTGAAATACATTGCTGTACAGATGCTAGTTTTGTTGCTTTGGGCAAAAACTGTGCAGATTAAGTTGCAAGATTATTTCAGTCAGTCTTTTTAGGAGCAAGTGCTGTGATTTGCCAGTATACAGAAATATATATTTGCCATTTGAGATGACAGGCCTTAGACACAGTTACCTGGTTAAGAATCATTTAGCACAGTCTTTGCGTACAACACTTCACTATCAGGAAATTTTATGGAAGCTGCTACACTTTGAAGAATTGATAGCACAAAAGTGACATTTCTATCTTTGTAAAGGAAGATATCGGCTGTAGGATGTACTTAGTTGCTGCTTCATAAGCAAAAGTAAACCTGAACTCCCATGGTACTTTAGAAGAATCAGGAAAGTACTTAATAAATTCTGTAGGAAGTAAGGGAGGGAGAAATTTTTTATCATGTCTTGAGGCCATTTGTTAAGCATTAACCTTTGATAAACAATATGTTTATCAATGCAAGAAGAGTCCACATCAAACCATTTGATAATACTCGGTTACTGTGCTCTTTGGTCAACCTGTCACTCACCATTCTCAACACTTTGTCTGTTTCTATAGTCGAAAGTCTGCTTTCTTTAAGCCTAATCAGACATCCCAGAATGATCTTCCAAAATCCCACCATAAATTCTACCACGTTATGCTTTCTTCCTTATTTGAACTGAAACATTCCATGTTCCAATTTTTCTCTGGTGTCTCTCACCCTCCTGTCACGTGCCACTGTGAAGAGCTTGGCTCAGTCATCTCGATAACCTCCTCGTAGGTACGGGACAGGGCATCTCAAACCCCTCTCCTGTGCTGAGGCCATTTCCCTCAGACTCTTCTCACAGGGTACATACTCTGATTGCCTGACCATCTTGATGGCCCTCCACGGAACTTGTGCCAATTCTTCAATGTCTTTCTTGTACAGGGGGCTCAAAACTGCACACTGTATTTCAGTTGGAATCTAGTAAGTGGGAAATAGAGGGGAAATAATCACCTCTTGATTGACTGGCTTTGCTCCTGTCAATAGAGCTCAGGATGCTGCTAGCACACACTGCTGGCTCCTGTCCAGCTTGCTGTCTGTGAAGACCCTCAGGGCCTTTCCAGCACAGCTGCTCCCCAGCCACTGCATCCTTACTGGGGGTGAACGACACAGGCTCCCCACATACTCCTTCCCAACAGGAAAAGATGAAAAAGCAAATATGAAAAGGTGTTCAAGACTTTTGTCTAATGTACTTATGGAAAGCTCCCGTTCTGCAGTGATTATATGGAATCATGAAAAATCTTACAGGAGTTAATAGTTGCTATTCAGTACCAGCCAGTGCTAAGGGCTCTGCCATCCAAAAAATTCAAAGCTAAAAGCAGATCAAAATAACCAGCTTTTGTAAGTAAATGGGCATTCAATAGTGAAACAATCAGCACAAGAAAGGTGGCTCCTTGTTTTGTTCACTTAGGGTAATTCTGTCATATTCCTCCTGAACAATGGGTATTTATTCTCTGTTCTTTATCCTGTCCTCGTTTGTTACTAGAGATGGTCCCCCTGAAGGCTTCCTACCAAGCTCTTATTTCATAGGTGGTTTTTCTTAGTATCCTCACATGAATTTCACACAATTCTCCAGCAATCCAAACTTCTCTCTTTCTTTTCTTAAAATTGTTGCCAAAGTAATTGCAAAATCAGAAATTGCTTAAAAAGGTTACTAAGTGATAGACATGACTTCCATCACAGTATTTACAAAGCCAAAGCACTTAAATTGAGGAAATAAATAATTAAGAACTTGGTGTCATATACTGCATATGTGATACACTTACACAACACAAACGAGTATATAATCGTATCTGTTTTTGTAACCTGTGGCTATTATACAGTCCATTTGGTATACTTGTAAATATAGTTCAACAGAGAGACTATATAAATTCTTTACTGTAAAATGGTGGTTTTAAATTACAGTTGTGATTGGTATTTATATATAGTTGTCAAGTTTCTTTTTCCATATAATTGTCTGAAATGTATCTCTGTACACTTACCGGAGAAAACAGTGCTTACTTAGGATCAGAACTGGTATTTTTGTAATGACTTAAATTATTTCTTTTTAATCATACATCAGACTGATTCATGCAATACAGAAATATTTTTCTTAGGGGTTTTCTAAAGATGCTGTCAAGCAAATTAGCTATATTTTAGGAATACATCTTGCTTTAAATTAAGTAATCTGGCTCGTAATACTTGCATACTCTGTGTGTGTCTCTTAATGATATAAAATAAGAAAGTTATTAAAACCCCAGTGTTACAGGACAGGTTTTCAAGCTTCCAAATTGAAAGAAGCAAGTTGTTATTAGACCCCCCAGAAGTACTTTTGCACACTGAGTGCACCTCAAGGCAGCCTGATTCGTACTAGCTGAAGCTGCCACCTCTGCAGAGGTCCACCAGAGGACACTGACCATGGACTCCTTGCTTGGCTTCAGCTGAGGTTACGGGATCGGTTCACACCCACCTTCAGCAACCAAGTTAAACTGAAGGGCTGTATTCAAAACTGGTTCAAGACAACTTTGTCACTGCTCTAAAGGACTGTCACACCTTCCCCACTGCGATGTCTGCAGGCTTTCAGTACCATGGGGGTGTGTAATCGGTGGTAACCCTTCAAACTAAAGGAAAACCCCTCTTTTTCAGTTATATCAGTGAATTAAGCCATATGGTGACTCAGGTTAACAGGTGCTAGTTTCAGTGCTGGGACAGGGCAAGGCTGCATGGCAAGTCTTTGATGACAGTATTGTCCCAGTTTGGCTTAAGAAAGTCATTAAACCATGCCCATATTTGACTGACTTTCCCTGAAACAGAGAGTGAGCACTTAACTGGCTCCTTCTGCCAGGAGAAGCGATGGGAACAGTGACAAACAGGTGTGTTGGTGTATATATGTTTGCAAAGAAAGTATGTGCTTATGGGTCTAATACATCCTGCAGTCTCAGCAATGAAAGCAAAACCACACCAAACTGAAGGGCACGTAAAAAGCTAAACAATTCTGAGTCCATACACAAAAGAGGAGGACAAGTAGGGGAGCATGAACTTCAAAAGCCTAAGGCAAAGAGCTTACCTGGAGGATGTGGGATGGGAGGAAGCCTGCTTTGTGAGCTCCTGAGAAGGTCAAACCCGTGGTCTGTGCTGTTCCAGCAGGACACTCGGGGCTTCAGCAACTTTGTACCTTCAGTCCTGTGAACACACAGACATAAATGGTTGAGTAAAAAAATGTGTGTGGGTGCTGTGAGATCTCACTGGTGACATTTTGAGGCTGTTCTATTGCTATCAAATAGCTGTGGAAACTGGGGAGGACCAAAGAAAGGCAAATATAGTACTCATCTTCAGAAAGGGCAAGACATCCTGGGAACTACGGGCTGGTCCCTGGGAATATCATGGAGCAATTTTTCCTGGAAGAATTATGTTTTGACCCCACTTTGAGCAGGCAGTTGGCTTTGTCACCTCCCAAAATCTGTCCCAACCTCAATGATTCTGTGATTCTACGGAATATACTTAGACAGAAGTTTTCAAAACCCCATATACAGCACAAGACCCAAGACTGGCTTGCTCAGTCACTCTGCAGATAAATCACTATTATTTATACCATGTAAGAAGTGTAAACTAAAACAAATGATTTTTTTTAATTTAAAAAGTTTATAATTCTTCTGTATGCACAGAATCTCTCAGACCTCTCCCTAGAGTTGGGTAATCATCATTAGCCTTGTTTTGCACTTGACCTAATCAAGTACTGAGATTTAAAACTACGTAATAGGCACAAAGGTCTCGTGGGAGACTTGAGTACAGAGATCATCATACATAAACCTGCCATGAACTTCCTTGTCTCCAGTAGCTGTTGACGGCTCTAAATCATTATCTGTTCCATTAACAATCATTGCTTTGTGGTTTTCTGAGTCCATTACAGTCCCTTCCCCTTCTCTGAGAAAACTCTTTACCAGGACTGAGAAGTACTTTTTCATTGGATTGATTCCTTTTAAACTGTACATTTGGGATCTAAATGCTTGGTTAGCACAGGGAAGCATTCTGATCAGTAAAGCCTTTCCCAAAGTGAAAGCTGCTGCTCAAACATGCAGCAGTCAGAAGATACAAACAAAGTATTAATGTGCAAACTAAACAAATGGAAAGATGATTCCATATTATTCCGTATAAAATATCACTGGTGCACTGTGTTAAGTTGTCGTCAGCTCTTTTAAACCAAAGATTTTCAGAGAGAGGGGAAGTAATAAAAAACATGTCCACAATATGGGAAGATTAAAAAACCCAGGAGTATTTGCTTATGTCCTGTCTCAGTTAAAAGGAGATGCAGAATATAAGGAATGGCACAAAAAGACAAGCAGTGGTTTCTCCTTTATCACTTGGGGATAGAAAAGTGAAAGTGCAACAGAAGGACAGAAAATACAAAATTTATAAACAGACATTCTTTGATTTCATTGCTGCTATATATTGAAGCCAAGAGCTTTGAAAGATTCAAAAAGGATTAGAGATTTATATGGAGGAGAAGAACATCCACAGTTACTTTAGATTAAAACCTCCTGGAATATAAGCCATCATGTTCCAGGACATTAGACAACCTATAAAACAAGAGGATTTAAAAAGAAATTTTCCTTGGGAGCAAAATACTGTGTTTGTCCACCCTGAGTTAGTTGGCTTCTTCCCCTGGAACATCTAGTATTGGGAGCTCAAACCAACTAAACTCACAGCTCTTATGCGGCTGGATTTAGGCAAAAGTATGTAAGCTAAGGATTTCTTCTTCCTGCCCAGGTACCACCTAAAAAAGGACAGGTGACTAGACTGACTAGATCTTTGACTGACTTTATTGAAACCTAGAATTGCTGGCATTTCTGTTATACATTATTTTATACATTTTATGTATTCTGTAGCTATTCTTTTAATTGTCTTACATTTCCTTATAAAAGAGCATCAGTGCCCTCTGATGATACTACCACATCCTACCCAGGTTGTTACTGCCTCTGTAGCAGAACTGGCAAGACCACGTCAGTAACACAGACAATATGCCAGCGAAAACCCACCTGTAGTTTCAGTGACACACCAGTCAATGAACTGGAGGTGGCTTGGCTCAGGGCTAACATCTTGTTTTGTGCTAACTCCGCTAGAGAAGGTGACAGAGGGGTAGGGCTGGACACACAAGTAATAATTTAATAATCTGCCACAAAAGGATGCATCAGAGCTCACCTGTATGAACCTAGAGCATCTCAATTAATACAAATATAAACGTTGAGCAGCCAAGTGAGAAAAGGTTCTCCATTATTATCCTTAAATCATGAACAAAAGGCTAGAAAAACACGATGCCAGAATGTATTAAGTATAAGGGAGATTGATAACAACTCTATTGAATCGAGTCCTGTCTTTTGATTCAGGAAAGCTTGCTGGCCAAGTGTCTCACTGTATGCTTTGTTGTATATAGTTGCAGATCTGGGACACGGCTGGCCAGGAGAGATTCCGAACTATCACACAGAGTTATTACCGCAGCGCCAACGGAGCAATCCTAGCCTATGACATCAGCAAGAGAGGCTCCTTCCTGTCCATTCCTCGCTGGATCGAGGATGTGAGAAAGTATGCCGGTTCCAACATAGTACAATTACTGATTGGTGAGTTAAAAATATTAATACCAAGCACTACAGGTGACAGTACAATGTCATTAGTTGCAATAGTTGTATAAGACGGTTAGAAATTTTATTTTTGGTTGAAGTAAGATGTATGTAATAGATCTGATTAAAAAAATATATTGGGAAAATTTCCAGTTAGAAAGTTCTGATTCATCAAAACAGAAACGTTTTGCTTTGATTGACTTCCATTAAATAGCAGACAGCTTTGTATCAGCACCAGCTTTGACTCCTTTGCGTCTCACCTCATGGAGAACTGGGTACCCAGAATTTGTAGGTTCTGAGGCACAGCTGCTGTGGAGCTGTTCTCATGATGAGGATCATAAGGGTTCCAGGGCCCAGAGAAGCTCCATCGTATCAAGCTGATGCGTTTTGCCGAACTGGGACACCCACATACTTCAGCAGATGGGGGATTTCAGAAGGACTTCAGGGCAATCGGGGTTTGTCATTTCTCTGCTGGAAGTTCTGCTTCCCAGCCCCAATGTTTCCGACTCAGATGTGGCTCTTGGGGCCTGTAGATCCACTAATACAACATCAGTACTGTTCTAGATTTCCCTAGGTACCACCAGACTGCTTTTGTTTTCACAAAATGGTTTTAGCTTTCATTTCTAGCCCATTTTTCTTCTTTTAACCCAGCACTCTTCAGTTACTGACCTTTTCTGTTCTCTCTCTGAGTCATACAGAAATACAGGTTGGGAGGGCCGTAGGAGGTTATCTAGTCCAACCTCCTGCTCAAATTGAGGCTGATGTCAGGTGGGTCAGGGCCTTTTCAGTCAAATTTTGAAAATCTCCAAGAATGGAAATTCTGCAGCTTCTCTGGGCAACCTGAGAACCTCCTGCTAAATACTTATTTTGACATAAATAGCCATTATAAAGTACTCTGGTGTTTCTTTTTCTTCCAGGAAACAAGTCTGACCTAAGTGACCTTCGAGAGGTTCAGCTGGAAGAAGCTCAGAGTCTGGCTGAACACTACGATAATATCATCTGTGCCATAGAGACCTCTGCGAAAGACTCCAGCAATGTGGAGGAGGCTTTTGTGAAGATGGCTACAGAGCTCATGATGAGGCACGGAGGCCCCATGTTCAGTGAGAAGAATACTGACAGCATCAAGCTTGACAGCAAAGACGTTGTAGAAGGCTGGGGGTGTGGTTGCTGATATGAGCTAGGTGATATCCCTAACTTTACTGGAATTTAGATGGTGCTTCACCCTAATGCTGAGTAGCATGGTAGCCATATTCTCCTCCTCCTGTGAAACCAGCAATTTTGTAGAAGCTAGACACAATCCTGTTTGCTTTGGTGTCTTATTTTTAAAAAGGGACTCTTGAGAGGTAGTCCTAAAAGTCAAACCCTCTGAAAAACTTACTCAACGTTTGTCCCCTCCATTTCTTTTCCATAACCTTCATACGAGTTACAAAAGTGGAGGAAACAAATTTGAACTGGTGACGTGGGGTGGGGAGACAGACGGTTGGGGAGGAGACTGATGCACACCCGAAGTTTAGCAAGGGACTGTTGGCAAAGAAGGTCCCGTTTGGAACAGGCAGTCTTGAGAGTGTCTCTTTAAATCCTCAGCACTCCACCAGTGACCAGAAAGTGACAGTGTCTTTGATAAAGGTATTACAATACCCAGCATTTTGATTACAGGACCAAATAGCAGTCGCCTGTCCTAGGGCATATGGATTGCTAGTTAGTACTGGAACAGGCCCAAGTGGGGAAACCTTCTCTCAGGTTTTGTTGCAATTATTTTAAGTTATCATTTTAACAAAAAGCAAAAATCAGCCCGAGCAATATCACATGACTTGCTGTCAAGCAGGATTGGACCAGTTGTAGTTATTTTAAATACAGCCTTGAGGAGAGGGTAGATGCATTTCATTTGTTATTGTTTGCACAGTGATAGCTCCCTTTTCCAAGCGGGTATCATTGAGTTTTTGCCCTCAGGTCTCTTAATCTCATTCCACAACTCAAGACCTGCACCACTGGAAACAGGAACTGGAGAAACCTTGAACTGACTGGTAGCCATGATCTCCTGCTGTGTGCCTAATGGTCATATACAGGGTTCATTCTGGTCATACATTTGACATTATGTTACTGGAGTGTTTATTCCTTAGGTGGCATAAGGGAATTTGGGGTTTGGCTTGTTGGGTTTTTTTAAAAACCATCTCTTTAAATACAATCTGGGCATACACTGGGAAAGAAGACCTCAGAATAGCTGAAAACTGCATGTGTTGCAACTTCTTGGTTGCAAGAAACAAGAGTCTTTTTGAGTGATTCCTTCCCAACTTTGTACTCAACTGCTTCCCTCTCCCTATCACGAGTTACCAGCTGCTTTTCATTTTTTGAAGACATTCAGCAGGAAAAGTCTTTCACTGTTGATCAAAAGTCTCCATTGTTAGGTAAAACAGATCTCATAATTCAACTGCACATAGCTGTCTTTCAGATTCAGCTCTGTATTCTATGTTGTAGATGCAGTTGAAGTACTGATGGCAGCAGTCCTCTCTGGATTTACTCTCAAGCACTTACAAAAATGGATTTGCAAAGGGAGCAGAAGCAGGATTATTTTTAACTCCGCAGTTAAAGCAAAGGTGTTCAGAGGTGACAAGTGATTTTTGCAATCCTGATACTTTGAAGGGGCTCATTTTCAGAGAGCACCCGCTTAAAGTGAAGTCACTTGTCCCTTTTGAAAATCTTGATCAAAAAGGACCCAGATTGGTTTGCCACTAGGGCTACACAGGTTTTAGCCATTCAGCATATCCAGTATCAAGAAAATCAGTAAGATTTAAGAAAGGGCTAATGGATCTTAATTTCAATACTGTTCATCTTCCTAAAGAAAATACTAAACCATTCTCTGGTCTTTCTGGGTTTTTTTTAAACTATGAGGTAGATCATTAAGGAGTTACATATGCTTTGTAGCCTGTTTGCTAATCTAAGGGGTTAGTTTTCAAGTTTTATAGTTGTAAGAGTGAAAAGGGCCTTAAGTTTTTCAATTAGTATAGTTTTCACAATTTTAATGTTTTATATGGAAGAGCAGGTTGAGCTGTAGTACTCAGCAGTATTTTTGGATAGTTTTCCAGGACATTCCCACCTCTCCCACATCCAAAGATAACAGGCAATGAGTGTCTAGCAGCAGCTAGACACTGAAAATGAAAATTGTCCAAACTCTAGATCTGTTAGTGTTTAGCAAACCCTGTATTCCACTCCCAGGGGGAACTACAAAGACAGTCCAAGTTAAAACTCAGTCCTGATGACTATTTTTCCTCCTGGTTAGATGGTCCTTAAGATACAGAATACTAGCAAGCATTTGACTTCATGTCATGCTGTATTCTAGTTGACATCTGTAGGTCTCAGCCCTGCAGTTCTGCACGCCTGAACACGGACCCTCAGATAAGCTCAGCCTCCCGCTATTTGCAGGATTAGTGCCAAATTATTTAAGCCATGCTGAGAGAAACTCACACACGTTTAAGAACAGTATTGCTACTACTCAGATTGAACTCAGTAGTTTACAGAGTAACTCATCTTAAAACTGGAGCAAGATGCAAAATGAACATAAATCCTGCTTCCAATGCAGTGAGTGAATGATTGTATTTTTTACAGTAGATGGAGAAATGAGGAATTATTGATCCATTTCCTTTTAAGGTTTGTTTAGTAAACAAGTAGAATTAGAGCAAGCACTATACTTCCCTTAGGATTTGCCCCCATTTATCTGTTAAGCTAGCCTTGAAGGTTGAGACTCTGTCTGCAGGTTCTCTTTCAGTCAGAAAACATGAAATACAGCATCAGTGAGTTTTCACTGTATTTTCAGTTACGGCTTTAACTCAGCTTTGTCCTCTAACTCTTGGCTTTTCTATGTGGTAACAAGTATAATACAAGTTTGCATGCCCTACCTAACTGAGCAAAAGGGAACCAGGAGGACCTGGTTTATTTTTTTCAGGTTAGTGATAGATGTGAATGACAGTGCTTGGGCTGTCAGTAAAAGGCTATTTCAATTACCAAGCCCTTTCTTTGTCTATTAGTAATAGCACAGTAGTCACTAGACTGATAGCTCCTTGACCAGAAAGAAATTAAACAGTAAATGTAACTTAGAGCTTTTCACTCCCCTTCTGAAGACTTTTATTAAACTTGTAATTCACACACTTTAGCTATGTAATTCAAATATTAGGAAGACAAGCCTGTTGGTTTAATTCCATTAATCCTATTGAAACTAAAAGGATACCTGGGTGAAGAGAGCGAGTAGCAATAAACCTGAGATTTGTGGGTAAAAACCTCCGTTTCAAATCCTAGGTTACAAATGTGCACTCACGTACGTCTAGTGAATAATTCAGTAGTGCACAATCAGAGTTCCCAACATAAACATTTGCCAAGAAACCTGTTTACTGGCAGTTGAACATTAACAAGACTATGGTGCAGTAATTGCTTTTAAGCAGATCTCCTTGGCTGACCATGTATTTGCATTAGTATTTATCATTTATTTTTGGCAGTACCCAAAGTGTGCTAAATATTACAAAAACACAGAGGGGGGCATCGATCCCTGCCTTGTAACACTTAGGAGTGGAATGCAGAGGCAAATACTGAAATGAAATCGTCAGCAGAATGTGGTTTCCAGGAGCGTGGGCATTGTTATCTTTTGTATTGACTTTGATTTAAGCTAATTTTATCTCTAGTTACTCATTCAGTCCATCACCATGGATGGAACTTGTACAAATATTTATAATTATGCAAATATAATGCCAAATAACTGTCAGCCCAGAAACCTGCTAAAATTTGCTTTGAAAAAAAAAAAATTAAACCACTTAATAACGAGGAAAAGTCCTAATGATTTTCTCACTATACTGCAAAGCAGGTCACTTCTTGGGGAGAAAAACTACAAAACTAAGTGAAGCCCAGATGATAGATTTCTATGAACTTCATGAAAAGTGGAGCTCTTGCTCAGTTTTTTCCTTGCCTTTTAAAAAGATCGTATTTATTTGAAGAACAGAGCTGATAGTCACATCCAATATACATGCATTATTGCAGTAGGACATTACATTATGTATGCACTGACACAGTGGCACCCTTAAGTAACATTAAAGCCTTGCCTTGATTTGCCCCAGTATATATTGTCCCACCAGAATTCCCACCTTCATTATTTAATCTCATAGTCCCAGCCAGTTGACCATTTGAATGTCTTTTGCCATCTCATGCCAGTCCTGAGGTTACTGGGAGGTAATAACATTATTAGTTTCTCTTCATAGGATTGTTTTACTCAATGTTATAATGTGTCTCTTTAAATCAAGATGAATTTATATGTTATTTCATTAATAGAAATTGTTTATCTTTACCCATCCTGCTTCCAAAACATTTATAAATTAACAGACCACTGAAGTTTATCCTATTGCATTATTTTGTGTAAACAGCGTGCTGGAGAAAAATGAAGTGAGAACAATACATTTCTTTGTGAAACTGAAAAATAAAATTACTCTCCTTTTGGTATCTTCCAGCCTTGGAGAGTGCTCAGTTTAACCCCTGTCAGTCATTCTCTGTGGAGACCTCAGAGAAACAAGCCAGGTTACAGGCAGAGTGTGCAACCAGTGAACAGGGAAAATCCAAGGAAATGGGAGCGAATTATATACTCTTTTGTGAAGAGGTGGTTCTTGCATGACTCACTTTGCCCCAGTAGCTGATAATGACCATGTAGCTTGTATTCCCACCCTTGTGGTACAAGAAGTGACACAATTAAAGAGCAAAAGATCCAAGGACATGAACAGTTATTGGCGGAATTGAAAGGAAATGAATCCCAAAGTTTAGACTAATCACCCTAACCCACTTAATTACCCTTTCTCAAATGGCATTAGGTTGTTCCATGGACTAAAAGGCATTCTAGATTTACAAGTTTGGCAATAAAAGATGCCCCATTGTTAACCCATGTAGATTAATAGCTACATTTTATTACAGTTGTATGAAGTATAGTGACTTCAGAGTCCCAGAGCAGAGTCCTTTATAATGGGGCTGTTCTCAGATTTGACAATTTTTTTCCACGCTATAAGAAGAGATTCATAGATCTGGGGAAATACTGTCTCAGTTTTATTTTTGTAGTATCTTTTGGTGCTGATCATCCCAGTAAAATTTCAGTTAGAGAACCAGCCTCCTGGGTATCTTAGTTTTTACTGGTTAGATAATGTTAGATTTCTTTTAACTCTATTGAATTGGGTTATAAAGCTATTTGAAGCAGCAAAAATTCTCAGATGAAAGCATTTCATTGCAATCCCCACTGCATACTTTAGAAAAAAACCCCAGACTATTCCACAACTAGACATTCTGATTTCCAGCACAAGTTGAGCCCTCTGTGCCTTTTTTATCATTTCATTTTGGTTTACTCGGAAAAGAGCGGGATTACAAAATCAAAACAAACAAACCGACCCAAATGTATATTTGCTGTCCATGGAACTGCTGCCAGAGGTTAGATAAAAATAGCCAGCATGGTCTCCTATCCTGATCTTTAATAGCATTGTTTTAATATGACTGAAAAATGTTAAAGTGCACTTTATAAATAATTATTTGAAGTACGAAAGGGTAGTGATTTTTTTTCTATGTCTTTTCTTAAGAAGGATTTCTATTACTTGAATACTGATAAAGGCAGTTACCTGTATTATATTCATAACTTTAGGTGTCACTGAAGACAAACCGTGTCAACAACTGCCTTGTTTCTCGCATATGAGTCAGTGAAAAACAAGTGAACAGAGTAACTTCACAAGAATAAAAGTGAAGCCTGAGTAACAATCAGGGAAGGAAAAACAAGTGAACAGAGTAACTTCACAAGAGTAAGTGAAGCCTGAGTAACAGTCAAGGAAGATTTTCTATTTAATCTGATTAAATATGGTAGGTTTAATGAATGCTTACTCAGTTCAAAGAAAATAGTTTCCTTCCCAAAGGCAAAATAATACGTTACGGGTTTTCCTGTTTGCTTTTTGCACAACAGAAGTTTGACTGCTGTCTATGCTGAACAAGAGCAGACTGCTAAACTAGTTAAGTGTATGGTAACAGAACAGTTTATAACATTTGGAGAACTGTTATATCGGCTTAAAGCTGTATTTAGAATCTGTTCCTTCCATTATGAGGTAAAAGTATGCCTCTCTCCTTCAGGACACCATTTGAAAAACTTTAGAAGGCCAGGTACTATCCAGGATCATAAATTAATAAAAATTTATTTAGGCACTCTGTATCATTGAAAAAAGTTACTTTCCATGTTTCTTCTGCAAGATTACTTCGATTGAGTTATTTCCAATTCGATTATACAACTGAACTGCTAACAGTGATTTCTACTTACTTTCAGCCTCAAACATAGGAAGATTAATCCTCAGTTTTCTGCTATCACAAAGCCCTGAAGGGCCATCAGAAAGACTATAGCAGCAGGTTTTTGCACATGTATAGCTATCAATCTCCTGCTCCTGTGACAGTTATTTAATATCTGGAATGTGTGTATATAGTAAACTGTACTCTGAAATCAATCAAGTCCAGCTTCGTCACTGTAACAGGCAGTAGTACCCGAGTAGGTAGTATAGATCAGGGTGAGGTATTAGGTAGGTACAGCAGCTTCACAAAGCTGCTTCTATTTAAGCCACTTCTGTCTGAGGCTTACCTAGCTCATTCAAAATTTGTTATTACAGCTAAATTACAAATATTTTCTTTTCCTTTCATCATAAACATAACATTAAAAAAATCCTAGATGTATATCTTTTAATTTTAAAGCATAGAGTAGGATACTAAGAACAGCAGTCACCTACTTTAAGCCTTATTAGAACATACACCTTATCTTTGACTACTCTGTAGAAGTTTAAACCTTAATTGCCCCATAAACTCACTCAGTACACACTATTCAGATGTAATAGTGAGCTGAAAGATCCAAGTTTCTGTAAATTTTAGCTTAGAGGAAGTACCTTACATATGACCTCAGTTGTGGCACCCTAGCAGTTATGATTTCTAATTGTTCAATCAATATAAAAAAACCTTATGATGCAAAGATTATCTTCTCAAGATAACAGCAGAATAAAACATTAAACTTAGAAAGAGTCTTTTTAAGGCACCTGACCAACACAATCTGTATACTTCCAAAAGCCAGTGTCTTTTCAGTAACTGCTAAGTAGCAGCCTGTTACACTGCACTGTGCTGTAGAACACACAACCATCAACCCCCCTTTGTCTGCAATAAACTCTATGAGCAATATAAACTCATATGAAGATGAGAGGGATTTTGGGTATCTAAACTATTGCATTTGAAAACAAGGGTATGAAAGATTGTCCTTTGGACATGCAAACTTGTCTTGACAATTTGAAGGTACTTTTAAAAAAGCAAGTTAAGAGCTGAATTTTCAGAGACATTGAAGCTGCAGACAGATGCCTACCAATGTCTTCAAAAGCATCTAGTTACCATTGCAAAAAAAAGCACAAAACTTGTATGGAACTGGTTTTGCACTAAAGGAAATTAGTTATCAGGGAAAAAAAAACAAAACACATTAATGTGAAAGGCAGAGCATTCTGGTTATTCTGTATTTTTCACATTCATTCCCTATTTCAATGCTGTGCATAAGTAAGCTTTTTCCCTTTATACATGGTATTAAAATAGATTATTCTAAGTGTGAAAAGTACTTTGATACTTGACAAAATAAAATGCTATATACGTTTTCTTAAGAAAGTAATAATATTGATGAGGAGATTAACTTTGCTAATACAGTTTGGTGATGTAATATAAGGTATTTGCCAGATAGAGCCAAGTGTTGGAATGGTGCTACTACACATACCATTTCAAAACCAGGGGAAAAAAAGCAGTTGAGATCAGAGTGTCCTACTTGCTAGACATAAAGTAGATAGAGACATATATTGAGCAGAAGGTGAATTTAGTTTCTTGTGACAGTTTTTAAAGATTTCTATTTTATAAGTCTATAAGGAGAAATGCTCAGATTTTTGATAGATATGCTCAGTGCCAGCAACCAGCTTTTCCCTCTTTTGTGCCTCACTCACGGAGATCTGACAGACACAAAACTCACAACTCCATAGAACATTTGAGTGAGTCTGGCTCACACACCTGCTGGGGAGAAAATAAACATCTCTAATTCATATTGAATTCATTCACTGCATTCCAAAATTATTTGAGGGGTTTGGATGATAACAGTGTTAAAATTATTCTGCATTTTCTAGGACAAATCTGTTGCTGTTTTTCAAGGTTTCTTCCAGAGATGCAGGCTGTACATTTCTAATCCCGAGTAACTACTTTGCTTTTAAACTTTCTTATCACAATACTGACTAGATCATTTGGAATATGAGGAGACAAGGGAGCAAGCTTGCATACTACAGTAATTTTTTATACTTTACCTTCATCTATTTATGAATTTATTATGAAAAATATTTTTAAACATATGAAACCTGCTTTTTGTTGTGAATTTTAGCAAAGTAGTGGATACATTGTACTGTGTATCATTAAAAAGGTTTAATTAAAGTAAACATTTGGCAATTAATATATTTTGTTGCTCTTTTATGGATATAACTTGCTGTGGTTTATTATCAGAAACAAAATCAAGTTTTAAGAAATTATTCTACAGTGCTGTATGATCTTCTGCTTTGACACAAGATACAATCTAATGCATTCTGTATTAAACAAACACTGAACCTGACCTTCCTCTTACCTTCCAGGTGCCCATCACGTACATGAGTGCATGCACATTACATTGTATTCTGTTAGCAAGCTCTCCAACGGAACTGGCCAGAAGATTAAGAATGAAAAGCAAAGTCTTCAGTGTTGGAGAAGTGCAAATAACTTTTTCAGTTCTTATAATTATGTGTAAACAATGTAACTACGACTGTACCTTCCCAAGGGAACATTTAGATCCTGGATTTTATTTAATTGCTGTAAATTAAACAAAGCAACACCCCCTTCTCTTTGCTTGGCCCTTTAATTCTAACGTCAGTAGATGAGCTAAGCAGGTTTTTAAAACCTGCGTTTTTTAGCCACAGGAGCCAAATACTCAGTTACTTGGTTCTGTATTCAGGCTACTACTTCAGTAACAGCCTCAAATACCAAAACAGCAATTAATACTTTTCAATGGATGCAGCCCCGAGCGATGTGCTCTGGGCAACCCTGCTTTAGCAGGGGAGTTGGACTAGATGATCTCTAGAGGTCCCTTCCAACTCTGACAATTTAGTGATTCCATGAATGAAAGAGCCATGCTCTAAAGCTGGTTCCTTAGAGTGGTGACTATAGCTGAACGCATTAGTTAGTTCCCTGATAATAACACAGCCTTTACTCCTGAAGCATTCTGGATATAACTATACACGTCACAGGTGTGCACAGTGCTGCAGAGAATCAGTGTAAGACATAAACAATGCAAGTGTCATGCTTAACATGTACCTACTCTTTGTAGGCTTTGATCTTTATTTTTTTGAATGTACTTCACGTGTTCTGCACATCTACATTACAGTTTCTAAATCTATGTGGGGAAAAAGCTATCTTACCCCAAAAATACAGAGGGAAAAGCAACTCATGAATTCCAAGGCTTTGACACAAGACCAAATGTAACAGTTTATATACAAAACTAGGATTTGTTTATGTAAATAATACCATTATTACAATACAGTCCTAGAATATAACATGTAGAACAGTTCTCTCTAAACAACTCTGTAAAACACATGGCCTTCCAAAGCAAGTCTGTGCTTTCACAGCACACGCCAATAATGATGCAGTCATATGTCACCTCGTATGAACCTTGGAACACGCCTGTCTTGCTGCAAATAAGGTCTCACAATATTTCCAGAACAGAAAGGACATACACCTGTGTTGATATAACTAATTAGTTTCAGAGCTGCTTCCCAGGTCACCTTCCAAAGCACTATATGACATGCAGAACACACAACCCTGACTGATGAGGGGGAAAGACAGGCGGCCAGAATCTCCCCAGGACACACTTGTGGATCCTTGAAAATGTGAACAAGCTAAACCAGTCATAAAAGGTTATGTGGAGGGAAAAAATAAACCCACACAGGGAAAAAAACCCAAACCCCTGCTCTGTTCTCTGCTGCCTGACCATCTGTAAGTGTGTGGCAAATTAAAATACATATCATTAACAGGTCTCTTCTGGTAACTGGAATTTATTGTGGAAAGCAACCATGACAACTGCTTACTTGGCTTTATTATAAGTGCATATGACGAACAGCTTAAAGGGACTTCTTAGTCACTTTTCTAGGAACTCCTTCTTCTTTGAATTCTCTAGGAGTGTGAAATAGTTTGGATACAGGAGGAGATCTACACATATCAACCATTTTTCTTTTCTTGTTAGTGAGGCAAACTGGCTTTCATTATGTAGCCTGCATCTGCAAAAAAAAATATCCTTTTTTTAATAGTCTAAGCTCACTGTTTTTCCTCCCCATATATGGTCAGGAACTTAGCTGTTAAACTACCAGAAAGCATATTCAAACTCAAGACCTATTGACAATCCACTTCTTATTCTGAGAAATACTCTTACCTATCCAATAGGTGCTGCTTCTGCTGCAGAAAGAGGCCAATAGATAAATCTGCAGTAAACCGAGCTGGGTGCTAAACTGTAACGCGTGTTTAGCATGATCTTGGATTCTGATACTGGATTCATAGCTTGGCATACAAGACCAACAAAGGAAAAGAACTTTTAATTTAGACCAGCTGAGTCTCAGGTGGTCTTACTTACACAAAGTAAACCCATCTTTACATTAAACAAAGTAAACTAATCTGAGCGATTTTGTCTTTTATTCACAGAAGTGACTACAGAAATACTCTTTTCCAAAACTTTCAACACGCAGGCTGTTTCAGTCAACATTGAAAACAGGATATATTTTGTCACCCAAGAATTCATCCTCATAAAGACAAAAAAATTTTAATGCAGACTGTGTAAGACATGCAGTGATACCATACAATAAAGACTGTTAGTCCCCATTTCTGTTCAAGTTAGAAGCACACCACTGAGTTTTAAAGACACCCTTGTAATTGAGGCTTCCTGCCTATGACACTGAAGAGATTTCTCCCTCTTTCAGCAACTGCCTTCAGTGTGTTGTGTTATTCAGGTCTCTATTTCTATCTCCCTTTAGAGACTAGCTGTGGGGACAAAATATCTACACCGCACTTGACATAACAACATGGCATTCTCGTTTTTAACCAGCACACAGAAGTCAGGGTATGTAGAAAGTTAAGTCAACCAAAGGTCTGGGCTAGCTCATGTACTTTCAGCTGCCTCTGCAATTAAGTATAATTTAAAACAATATACACATGTACATTAATTTCAAACGTATTTGCACTTCATACAAAATTATATTTGACCATTGCAAAGGTGGATGCCTTGGTGCCACTAGACACAGATACTGTGCTTGGAGCTGCACTCTGAACAATTAATTGACTCAACTGAGATTCAATCCTAGCTGTTGGCAACAGAAATAACTTACATTGGAAAAGGCAAGTTTAGAACAATTTTTCTGTAAATCATTTCGTTAACATTCCTCCTTTCCATCCATTACCTAGAAACACTTTTTGAACAAGAAAAAGCTGCCAAGGAGCTGACATGGAACTTCTGAAAACTCAAGAGCTGAGAAAAGCACGATCATGGTAAGGTACCCGTTTCCCTGAGAGTCCATCCACCCACTGATGGAACAAACCCCAAACACTCCAGGGCCTTTCAGCTGAGCATCCTTTCCACATTTTACAGAAACAACCTTCACTGTGGCACTTCCACACCACAGTTGCTTATTTTCTTGCTGAAGAAAGCCCAAACAATTATCAGTTTTATAAAGCACGCAAATCCAAAATCATAAAACATAGCTCTTACTTAAAACTGCATATTTCTGATTCATTTGAAACCACCTACAGCAAAACTGAGGGGTAAACGTATCTTTCCCCGCAGTTGGGAGAGTTTTCAAGAGCATCAAACTGAGTTCATCTCTCAGACTGGGGCACAACTTCTCAGTTGCTGACTGGAAAAAACTTACCAAGAGCTTTGCACTTGTTTGAAACCAAGAAGGGGTGTGAATAAGAGGCAGCTAAAATTATGAATGAACACTTTCACCTGCTATTTTTTAAGCATTTTGGCTTTTTGAGGGTCTGCCAAGCCTGTGTTACCAAACTCTCACTTACCAAGCTGGAGTTCAGTCCATGGAGTTGGAGAAGCTGGAATGCCCCTGAGCCTTGGAGAACCGCGTGGGGACAACGGTTTTGCATTTTACTACTTCTACAGAAGGGAAAGGGAGAGGGAAAGGGAGAGGGAAAGGGAGAGGGAAAGGGAAGAGGCAGACGAGGGTTTCAGTCCATGGAGTTGGAGAAGCTGGAATGTCCTGAGCCTTGGAGAACCGCGTGGGGGCAATGGTTTTGCATTTTACTACTTCTACAGGAGGGAGAGGGAGAGGGAGAGGGAGAGGGAAGAGGCAGGCGAGGGTGGGAGTTCTCCACCGCCTTTCCCGCCCAGCGCCACGCCTCACCCACGAGCGCCGCCGCGCGGCTGCGCTGAGGTGAAGACAAGATGGCGGAGGGCGCCCCCACCCGCCTCCAGAACCCTCCAGGGCCCTCATCGACCTTGGAGAGTCCCGCAGCAAAAAACAGCTAGTCTTCCTCAGAGCAGGTGTCTATCCCTTCGCTTCCCAAATAAACTATGTTCTTACTGAGACGTCCTGAGACGTCTTATGTGTTAAAGACAAAGGTTTTCCAGGTTTTTTTTTTCTCCAATTTCCCGCCTCCCATTTCCTGAGGCGATGGGGGATTGGTCCCACTGCAGGGCAGGGGAAGCATCCCAAGGGTGAAAGAAGCTCCCACATGGCCTTTGCTCAGCTAAGTACCAGGTATCTTCTCAGAGAACCAGATATTAATTTGGAGATTAATTAGAACTATCTTATACATTAAGCATTTCACTGTCTTCTGCCAAAAGAACAGGTTAATTCACCAAAACGGCAAATAATCCCCTTCAAAAACTAGAGATGGTAGTGGAGAAGCGAACCCAGCCCATGTGTGAGAGCAGACATCTTTGCACCACAACAGCTCAGCTCAAACCCCACGTACGGTCTCTTGTATTCTTCCAGAATTTAACATATCGTGGACTTAAATACCTCAGCTCTGCCAAAGTGTGTGGTCCCGGCTGGGTACATCTGCGTCACTGTTTTAGTTGGATCAAGGTGTCTCCTGATCACCTCCACTCACTCTGCAGAGCGGTCGCCAACCTCATCAGCTGGATTCCTGCTGGGTGAAGCCTAATGCACTCCAACAGAGGGCTAAAAATTATATATCAGGCTTAAATACCAGACTGACATTTTAGTCAAGAACATCTTCCAAGCTTAGTGAAAACTTTAGAGCATCTTTTTCAAAGCTCTTATCAATAGTTGTCTGCCAATCCTACCACATTGCAGAGATTGCGTTTCTTCTCCTACTACTGCTGAAATATTTTTAATTTCTCTAGATGTGATTCAATTACACGATATCACAGCATATCATCGCATTTGTGTTGCTGAAGAACAGAAGACATAGCAGCATAAATTGTCCCAGAATAAAAATATAATGATCAAGCAGTTTATGGAAAGAAGTAAACTGCTACAAAATACTCTAACAGATTATCGTGAATTACTCACATCTTTAAGACAAGCTGCCTAGATATGATATTTTACTAAAAAATTCTGCAATTTTTTGTTGTGTGCTGATGCAGCTCCAAATTTAGTGACACCCTAGTCCATTACTGGGACTCGGTTGTACATTGATAGGAAGAATCACATTAAACGACAGGAGGAGAAGAGGAAATGGGCATAAACTTGAATATAAGAAGTTCCACCTAAACATGAGGAGGAACTTCTTCACTTTGAGGGTGGCAGAGCCCTGGAACAGGCTGCCCAGGGAGGTGGTGGAGTCTCCGTCTCTGGAGACATTCAAATCCCACCTGGACACGTTCCTGTGCAACCTGCTCTGGGTGGACCCGCTTTGGCAGGGGGTTGGACTGAATGATCTCCAAGAGGTCCCTTCCAACCCCATGTCATTCTGTGAAAGGCAGCTCCAACAGACTCACCAGGCAACATTCACACCCTGCAACGCAGACATAGCCTAAATGCTCTAAAAGGGATATAGACTAAAATCCTGCCTTCCTTTCAGTTAAGAACAGTAGCAGCCTAACAGTCAAATGGCATCTTTTTTCCTACATATGCATTGCAAGTTTATGTTTCCACGAGGGACAAAGTTTACAAAGTATATACACAACTCCTTCATGAACCTTTTCAAGTGTTTTTTCAAGGAACAAAGAAACAAATTGAACATTTTCTGTTCCTCATCAATTTTCACATTTTTATTCCTTGCTTCACTAACAGCCTGGAATCACTTCTGGTAATAGATAAAGAGCTCTACAACATGCTTTGGTATTGAAACAACGCAACCTCAGTCACCCCGACATTTCACAAAACTACAGTCTTCACTTTGGTGTACTTCACAATAGTTGGCATATTGCAGGAAAGTGCTAAAGAAATAGGTATATATCTGTTTATTGTAACAATTAAAAAAGGCAAGAATGTGCTGCTCTAATACCTTCCCAGTGAAGAAACAGGAAATACACTGTTTAGGGCACTGTCTTTAACTGCATCCAGCACAGTATGTTGAAAGCTACTTATGAAACACTGTGAGTGAGCACATCACCAATCCTGACAGCCAAGAGGGGCACGACAGTGGTTTGCAAATGGAGAAAACACAGCAACAACAAAAACCTGACCTCATAGCAGCAACATTCTCTTCATGGCATGAGTTTTCAGATTTTGATGTCAGGATAATAAGCAGTGAAGAAGCTGGCCAGGAAGTCATTTCACTTTATGCCACCATCTGTCTTATCAGTGCTTTTAAGCTAGTTTTTTCCTAGTTCTGCAAGAACTTGAGAAAAATGAAGACCCACAGATTTTTGTTTGTACAATTTCTAATTTGAAGAAAAAAACGACACAAACAAACCCAACCATAAAAACCTGACTGGCCCCCAAGGTGATGTTAAGTGACATCTGTGTGGAAGTTGACTTTGTCTTTAAGTAGACTTAATTGTCTTCTGTTTTCCAAGATTATGTCACAAGTACATCATATACTGTGTTATAACAAATTAACACAAAAATATTTTCAAAGGCATCTTTGGATGAAAATGTTTAAAAGTATTTTATAAAAACAACATAAATTACTTTTTTTTTTTTTTTAAATGAACAGATATAAAATCTATGAACCCAACAACATATAACATTGACGCAAGGTGCAATATATTACACTCAAGGCCGGTTAATTACCACAGTGGTATGAAACTTCAAGTAAATTGCTAGGCACTTTTTGCCCAAACAGTAGTCACTCATTCAGTGGAAAAGTCCAACTGACAGAAACGCCTGAAATATAATTGCTAAAGCTTGCTAATGTAAATTCCTCAAAAAAAGTGCAGATAAAAAGGCAAAGCCAAAAAGGCCAGGTTTTGTGCCCGACAGGGCACCCACTGTTGGCTGCTTTCCTGACAACAACTGTGCTCAGCTCAGCTGGAGTTCCAAAAATGGCATCAACAAGTCAGCTCTCCCCACCGGACACGGGCAGCTCGATTAAGGCTTTACGTGTTGGAGCAGAGAGAAGAAACAGCAGCTCCAGACACATGGCAAAAGAGGTAAAAAGCAAGGCTGCAGGGTTATACCTGAGCAAGTACAGAGTAACAGGGGTGAATTTTGCTCTGAGCACGCTCGTTACTCACAGAGTAACAGGCAGTAATACACATCGTGCTCTGTACCTACCAGTTTGTCATTGTGTGAGGGATCCCAGCGACACAATGCCATATCCTCAAGTTCCCCAATACCTAGAAGCTAGAGCTTCGAGCAAACAAAAGATTGTACTGTCCTGTGGGTATTTAAGTACCACTAACATGAAAGATTGCTATTAAAATACCTAACCTAATGAATCGGAGGACAATAACGGGCAACTAAAGCAAGAAAATGCATATTTCAAAGTACTTTAAAATTCACTATTGATATTTAATATAATTATATTAAGTATATTAATATACCTAAGTATATATTAATATACTTTATATAAGATCGTATTGATTTTAAAGTGAAAAATTTTAGAGAGCAGCAGTTTGTGGCATGCTCTTAAAGCAGTTTGGTTTTTGGGAAGAAAAGCATAGCAGTGAGTAGTCCTTAAGAACTCATCTCAATTAGGTGCAAAGTTCTCCAGCTGGAAGACCAGGTCTACAGCAGCATCGACATCTGGTACAATATGATTCGGTTCTACTAAACCGGGCTCAAATCTAAAATCTCTGTGGCCGTGGAACACCGTTTCCGTGACGCTCTCCCTGGTGTCCAAGGGTACCTCAGTGTGAGGGTTGTACACCCCAGTACAAACCAGAACAGACCTACAGTGGGCAGCAGCCGCAGACGCCAATTCGTTCTCCCAACTGTTGTCTATTTCATCATCCTGAGAGAGGGCAGCAGATCCTCTGCCACTGGCAGCTTTGGCCTGAATCCGTGATTTTGACCCTTTTCTGGAGTTCTCTTCAAGGTAGCGATTGTAGAGGTTAGCACCATAGACATCAGTCATGAGATTATCTCTGGAAACATAAGAAGAAAGTTTAGTCAGCAGTGCAATTTTAGTTGTCAAATTTTGATTGTATGAAAGACATGTTTACAATTTCAATGTAACAGTTGACTTTTCTCTTTACATAACTTTCTGTGGAAGTCCGCAGATAGGAAGAAATCCACTCCCATTGCTATTTGATTACACCATTTTCATTAATTTTCATTAACCTATGATAAAAGCAAACAACTCTCCATATTGAAATTGCAGAGCAGGGCAGAGGGAGGGGAAAAATCAAGGATAGGTAATTAGCAGTCCATGAATAAGCTTATTGTATTCCCAAACATCTTGGAGATTCTGAACCAGCCTTTAATACAATACAGCTTTATCTCTTTCTATGAAAAGGATTCTATGATGTGACAACACGCACAGTAGCATGTGACCCAGCTTAACGACCTCACAAATAAATCCTAGCTCCACACTCCCTAATAACCATCCTTTACTCCCAGCTTGGTGGTGGTGTACCAGTAAAGCTCACAAAACACCCATGCTAGTTCTCTTTGTTAGATTTACATAGCCTATTACAGAAATTAAACAAAAATAATAATTAAAAAAATTGTGAGACATCTTAGTTGCACATAAAGCACTCTTTGTGCTTCTACAGAAATTACACATAGAAGGAGTAAAGTATTATTAATTTTGAAGGTTAGAAACAGTGAGGCTCGAAAACGTTACAAGAAGCACAGCATCGAGAATGTTAAGTGTTCCCAATGGCACGAGACACCAAGCAGTAAGAGTTGTGTATTTTTCATTGCTGGTGTTTACGTTGCCTAGGTAATTAATGGATGAACTCGTTAGACTTAGGCCACCTTACCCGACAGCGTAAAGGGTTCGGATGGGTTGTTTCCACTGCCTTTCTGCAGCCTGTGCCCGGATGAGGTATTCTGCGTACTGGTAGGTCAGTTTACTGGGCTTGCCCATTAAGGCCTCGTATTTCAGGTCCTTGCCAGTGATCTTCTTGTAAATGTTTTCCAAACAAACCATGAAGGTTCCGTGCCCAAACCTACACAGATATAACCAAATTATATTAAGTACACTATGAGATTTCCCTCCATTTGCATGCAAGATTTCCACAGCTGTTTCACTGAAAATTAAACGCTGATTAGCTGACTAATAAAAACCACAATAAAAATACATTATTGGGAGAGCACAACAGACTGATCTATTTTCAAAATGTTGCAATGGTTTGTGTTAGTGTTACTTGCACTGAAGTAGATACCCTACTTACAAAAGGGATGCTTCTGGAAACAATGCCTAGCCTGTGGTGTAGGCTCTGCAGTGACCCAAGAGAATGGGCTACATTAATAAAGAGGAGGGATGAAAAAGGAAAATTAGAGTCAGACAAAAGGAAAATTGTTCTCTCCTTAAACACAAGACTCTATCAAAACCCACTTATAATATGGAAACAAAAAAACCTACATGGGTTTCTCTGAAAAATTGGATGTGAAGGAGGATCAAGGGATAAACTCTAATTTTACAGTTTTTGGTAACTCGGTTATTTTCATCAAGGTCGAAACAGTGTTGATGGGTCAACCACCAAACCAGTAAATCACTTATTTCAAAGATGTAAACTTATGATGAAAAAAGCAGTTTTCCTTCATTACTGAAGTCGGGGTGTGATATCAGGAATAAACTAATATGTACCAGTTGAGAAACATGGAATTATCAAAAGCACAAAAGAATAAAAGGTTGCTGTACAACAATTCTATATACAATAAATAACATACAGTTCTTAAGAAGAGCTTCTAGGTAATTCTAACGCACATAGAATAATACAGCTGCTCAAACCAGGTATCGACAGCCTAAAGAATCCAAACCACCAATATAATGACCATCAGAAGCCAGCAGAGATATATGAGGTTCCCTAATAAAGAAATTCAATCTCTAGTGGCCTAGAAATCAAAATAGTCTTTTAAGGAAAAAAGCTACAAAGGAGAGGGCAGCTGCAGCACTTGTAAACATGGTACAGAATTGGCTTTTCTGAATTCTGAGTGAACCCTTCATTTCCTCTCTCCACCCTGTTTGTTGCTTTATATTATGAAGTACCAATACATAAGCATAAAATTATTTCCAGTAATTAGTAGCAACAGCTTAAACCAACTTAGTCATGGCATTATATTCCAGTAGTGAAGGTAACAGCCCTGACAGATGCAGAGCTGTCATACTGTCAAACTCAAAGGAAAAAACAAACTTTACACTGGATCTTTCCCAAGGACACAACTGAAATGATGGATCTTATTCACTGCAGATATATTGGTTGCCTTATTCTAGCCTCAAACTATCACACATATCTATTTTGCCAACGTGCTAATTAGAAATGGTTGTTGCATCCAAGTAAGGATATTTGACAAGGTCTCCAGCCCAAGATGAATAACATATACAACATTAGAAATGGTCGTTGCATCCAAGTAAGGATATTTGACAAGGTCTCCAGCCTTGTCAAATAACAACAATTTCTATTTCACATTTGTTCACATACGTTCACATTTTAGACTAGGCAAAGAGAAAGGAAACAAAACTATCAAAGAACTCCCTTCTATTGAAAACAAAGTCAAACAAAACCACTATCAGAGACAGGGCCACCTTGTTCTGTGTGTTCTACTTGGGTTTTCTTACATTCCTAAAAGCGCTCAGCATATTGCCCTCAGCATAAAAACACTCTCTGCTTTCAATTAGCAGGGTCCATTCTTTACCCTACCAGAAGCTGTAGGGTGGAAAGGAGAAATACCAAAGAAGGACCTAATGACACGAAACAATGGCCTTGATAATTTTTTCATTTTTTCCTTTGAACAGAGACTCTGAGGCCCTCAGGCAAAAACCTTCTGAGAGTGGGGAAACAGAAAGGGTTAGGGCTTAAAAGCAGTTTTTATCTTGAGTAACTGATTTCCTGAATGCAATAATGTAGATGGTAATTAGGCAGTGCTTACTGAAAGCACGCTGCTTTAGAGACCTTGTATTCAAAGCCAAGACCTGGTAATTAGGCAGTGCTTACTGAAAGCACGTTGCTTTATAGAGACCTTGTATTCAAAGCCAAGACGTACTGAGCAGCTGCAGTATAAAGAAAAGCACAATAAAGTCTTTTGTATACAAGTGTTGACTCTGTATTTTACTGAAGAAATGAGGAAAAGCCAACTATATCACGATATATCACTGCCCTTACCTCGGGGACTGCGCTTCAGCCACCCACATGAGATCCATGTTGCAGGCCAGCACGGGGATGTGAGGGGAGTTTTCCTGGCAGTAGGGATTCCCAGGGTAGCCACTGGTCAGCAGGACGTCGATGATCAGCTGGAGGTTGGTTTCCCATCTCACCGGCTCCCCAAACAGAACCACAGCTACACAACAGGAAGTGCAAAACACACAATTAGTTAACGGCGCCAAAGCTCTGACACTAAAGCTTGGGCTAAAGTGACCGAACAAGTGATTTAACCATGAACTAATGGAATTGTCACATTAACTTTAAATTAGGGTTTTAATATCATACCCATTTATTCACAGAATATCTCAGAAGTAACAAGACCCCACTGCAAAATCTACAGCTTTAAGGAATTTATTTTTATTGGCTAAGTTTCTCCATAGCACCATAAGAAGTAACAAGACCCCACTGCAAAATCTATAGCTTTAAGGAATTTATTTTTTAGTGGCTAAGTTTCTCCATAGCACCACAAAATAATAAGTCCTAAATTGCATTTCTAAGTCTCTCATACCTTTGTGAATTCTATGTTTATGTACAGGATTTAAATAATCCATTGAAGATGTTATTTTCCTCATCTTACTATGTTTATGTACAGGATTTAAATAATCCACTGGAGATGTTATTTTGCTCATCTTAAAAAAAATAATAATTGAATGTTGTTTTTTGCCATTTTTCTGCTCTCCAGCCATAATCTGATTCAGATTTTTTTAAATCCAAAAGTCCAGTTTCTACTTTCCTGTACTTCAGAAGAGATATGGGTGAACATGGTCTGCTGAAAGGAGGTGCTTCTCCTACTCCAGCTCTGAAGTGCCCACCCTGACCACTGCACCAACAAGACTATTTCTGAACACATCAATTCGTTCCTTGTTTATGAAAGGAAGGCAATAACAGCCCGCTAAAGGAAGATGAAGAGGAGAGCAGACCTCCCCCGTCTTCTGAAACTTCCAAAGCCCCATGGCTGAAAACTGCACACATTAAAAAAATAGCTTTATCACACGTGATACACTGCAAATTAATGACAGATATCATTAACAAAGACATTTTAGAATTGCCTCAGCCAACTTCTGAAGTGCCCAGCAATCTGAAGGGAAATTCTTATTATACTTTTCTTTATAATTAAGATATTTCATCTATTAAAGGATAGTTGCAAATTAAGTAAAGATAACTAACCCTCAATCTTGGGAAGCTCCACAGCAGAGGGGTACTGCAATAAGAAAAAAGTAAAAGTTTTCTACAAGATTAGACATTTCCTACTATTTTTAACAGAATAAATTCAAATATAGCTCCCACGGTTGCCTTCTGCAATGCTGACAGGAAGCACACTCTATTTTGGTATATACCTGATGTCAGTTTACTTAGAAACTCCTATTTCTGAAGTGAATCTTGCGGCAAATGACCAGCAGCCCTTCAGTGTGTTCTACATTCTCCTCCAGCTATTTACCTTCCTCTGGCAAGCTACAGGCTTTCAGTTGTTCAATTTACTTGTGTATGAAAGTATGGATGTTTATTTTTCCACAGGTGTAAGAGGCCTCTAGTATTAACAAGACATTTGAAAAGCCGTTTTAGAAATGCATTTCAAACACTGCTAAGAAAGAAAAGTACAGCCTAACACATGATGTATTTGCCAGACAAGTAAGAGTTTGTACTTCGTTATTGACTCCCTGTGGTGACAGATACATTAACAGTTTCTTGAACTTCAACATCCACATACTGACCCTGGGTACGTACAACACACACATCTATTTACTGGGTAGGTATTCACTTCTTTTTGAAATTCTGCATGGTACATACTGTTAGTCTTTAAATATATCTAAATAAGAGTATAAACAAGAAAGGGAGTCCTTTGGAGAAAAATTAGTTATCTACAAAGCACTGATTTACAATCAAAGCAACCTCAGAGCCTAGAAACAAGACCAAGACAACCCTGTACTGAAGGAAGAAGCTTATTTTGTCTTCCAGACATCTGAGGAAGCTAATAAGCTTTCCAAACAGATTTTGAATTAGGTATCTATTCTAAATTATAAGGTTTCCCACAACAGTTAGTTACAAAACCAAAGATAATGTTAGAGAATTACCACTGGTAAAAAAAAGTCTATAGTTGTTCTTGAAAATGCTGTAATAAAACAAACAAAGAAGCGGAAAAGCAGAGTCAAATTACAGTGTAAGAACAGCAGGATTAGGCAGGGAGTTTAAATACTGAGCCCTAGTATAGAATGTCATGTGCTGAGCAAACAAAGGATTTTAAAAGAAAAATACACACTCACCAGAGCGCTGGGTCTCCTGTCATGGTCAACTACATCTAGCAAAGGGTGTTTCTCCCGCAAGGTCTCAATGGTAATAGGCTGACAGAAACCAAGGCTGGGACAACACCAGTTAAGGATACAGAACTGCTGATATTAAAAGATCTTAAAAATCAGTAATTCCATTTTAACAATTTTAACATAAACAGGTTTATCTTGTAAAGCGAGTTTAGGAATCAAAGCAACGTATCAAAGATGGACTTTTTCTTCTGCGAGATAAAAAGATGATGATCCCATTGTTTATAAATGGGAGACCTGCGTGTCTGAAAACTTAAGACAGAAATTATACATAAATCTTGCTCAAAATGTGAGACAAAAAGCAAGAAGCTGCTCTAGACCTGCAATACTGCAAGATCATCTTTACATAAGCACAAAAAGAAGTTTATCTGGCAGCAAGACAACACCTTGTGTAATTATTACAGGAAAGAAATATGAGGTAGTTGAGGAAATAAAATAATACTGTCCGCAGATTGTGCTCTCCTTAGGCCATTATGGCTGCTGATCTAACCCATTAATTTAAGCTTAGTTAACAACAGGTAATCAAACTACAGCTGCTCATTTGTGTAAAAAAGCAGTTGTGATGCTACTCTGAACACTAAGATGACTTCTTACGATGCAAATGAAAATAAGAACTACTTAAATGTATCAGTTATACAAACTAAGCCACTTGATCTTATATTGGAATTAACACCACGGCCATTTGTAAACCTACTTTAAAATAAGACTATCCTGTATGAAAAAGCTATTTAACAGAAATATATTCTTTATATGTGTATTTAGTCTTGTAATACACTTTTCTCTTAGTCGTGCCTAATAAATCTGGAAAGGTAAGTGGAAAATTCCTTCAATAACTTTTCTCAGCTTTGTATTTGAAATAAAGCTTATTCGTACAAGTCACGAATACATTTTTTACAACTTATTATTAACACCAACTTTAATCAAAATCCCAATAAAGGAAGTCACTGAAAGAATGAGTGAAGATTGTGCCAAGGTGAAGGTCATTAAATTACAGTTTGGAGCTTTGACACCACCAGTACATCAACCAAGTTGGCAGCTACTGAGCTAGAAGTCAGATGTGATAAATAATAGATAGAATCCACAAGAGAGCACAAATCCCTTGTGCTACAGTGCCATTTACATACAAATAATAATAGAAAAATATAATTATTTCTCTCTTTTCCTTCCCAATTAAAACCAGATAGAACAAAGCAAAGCAAATATCAACACAGCAACCGTTTTCATGCCACCACAGTAAGAACTACCATTGCCTATTTCTGGCTGTGTAGTGTTGAAATACTCGCTCTCCACTTGATCCACAAGATCCCCAGAACTTGGTTAAGGAAAATACTTAAACAGAAAGCTGTTTGTTTTCTTTTTTTAAAGATACTCTTGAGCAATATCAAGAACCGGTCCTTGGCCAGATACGAGAACACATTTTTCATGGTAGCGTTTGAACATCCGCAGAGGACTGTGCGACATCATCACCTGATCTTGTGAAATCTGTTTAGGATTTAAAAACAAAAGGAGGCTGTTGGTTTTCAGAGAAGTTATTTGTATGCAGATTTTAATTAACAGGTGTATCAAATTCTATGCATTACAAAACAATCATATATATATATCCACCTAAAACCCTACCGTATCATTTTCTCTTGAGTTTCACAGACTATTGATAATATACCAGAAAAAAAATACATTAGTGACAAAGTGTCATACACACCCCTTCCAGCTTCCAGCATTACTCTATTCAAAGTGACCACGAGGTTTTCACTCCTAATTTCACAGAATCACCAAAACCACTTAGAAAACAAACAGGGAAGAATAACCAGAAGTGCCCTAGTTCCGATTGTAGTACCTTTACAGCATTAATTTAAGTGGATCAGAAGACCTTCACCTTTTAGCTTACATATCCCGTTCCTTCAATAGCTATAAAAATGGTAAAATTATTATCCTGGAAGGATGCTATTACGAATCACTACTTATAACTTTTACAGATCTTAAAAAAATATATAAAAATAATTGAGATGTCTTTTTACCACGACACACAGGATTTTATTAACAAACAGCACTGCAGAACAAATTTTACAGCTTTATCTTAGTAATGCTCAAACACAGGCTCCAGCAACAGAGAAGTGCTACTGCCTGCAGCACCCACAGACTGAAAAGGGGGGATAAAGTTGCACCACTTGTATCAGAGGCAGGAAGGTCCCATCTTCCACGGTATCTCAGAGGACACTCATCTTGTGTGAGCAGTTTCATGTTACTGGCACATGCTTGCTTTATTCAGGAGAAGGCAAGATTTATCCCTACAATAATAATGTTGCAAAGAAATACCATGACCACTGGAAAAACCAGTACCTTTGGCAATGGAAATACCATTAGCTTTGGCCAGTGTTTTTTTTACCTTTATCACACCTCCAGCAGAGCATTTCAGATGGCTTAAGGGAAAAACAACACTGATTTAACTGAGCAGGGTTTAATGGAAGATAATACACTTGACACGCTCACCATAAGTAAATATTTAAATAAATAAGATTTAAGCTACTCACTGGAACTCCCAGCAGATGAGACAACTGATCAGCCTTTTTCTGGCGAAGGCAATCCCCCGCGTTGGTGACAAACACCACCGGCACCAAGAACTGTCCCTGAGAATTCACCAGCTTTCGAAAGGCGGTTTTTGCAGCAGGAATCGGAGTCTTTCCTCGCACCAGTACCCCGTCGATGTCAAAGAGGAAGCCAAAGGACGGCAGCGTGTTGAGCTGCAAGGTGGAATTGAAAAGAAAGAGTGCATTAGTTATGCCCTTACTTAGGCCCGTTGGATAAAGCTTAAAACAGGGAATGTCCGATGAAAAGACAAGGAATGGATCTTCAACTCTGTGCACACAGAATGTTCACACTCTGCAACACCTGCTGTCAAAAAGCAGCACAGCAACTCCCTCTTCCTTATACACGCAGCCGCAGGAGTTCTACCTTGCTTTACTAGATCAAAAACATTTCACAAGATTGGGACAAATTGAATTAAATTGATAAAAAGAGGTATAAAAAACCCCCATGCTGCTGTGCCAGCAACACATGCTTTTGATTGATTTATCCCCACCCTATTTTGCAGGCATACTAACAAAATAAAACTGCTAACAAAATAAACAAAAGTAATTTTTTTCATCAGCAGGAAGGTCTTGAATGCAAATGTCGTACTCAGCTCCTCCCTTAGCAGCTGTTTAGATGCAAATGTTGTACTCCACTCCTCCCTTACAAGCTGATTAGATGCTAAAACAGTCCCTGCTGTCACTTGTACTTCTCTGTCCCAGGACAGGGTGTACTGCAGCTGGATGTTGCTGTGCTCCTCACGCATTGCCTCAGTTGGTTCTTATTTTATATACGGCAAACTAGTGCCTATTGTTAAAGGTAGCACCTCCTTAAACAAAGGTGCCGTTGGAGTTACTAAAGTTCATCTCATTGCCCACCATTGAAGAAGTGAAGAACTGGCTGTGACTAGCCCTGAAAGGGAGCGGGAGATGAAGAAGAGATGAGGAGGGTGACAAGAGAGAGGACCCTCGAGCAATAGCACCATTACTAAATCAGGTTGGAAAGGGATGGACCAAAAAGGATCTATAATCTAAATGTCATTTCTCTCCTAAGCCTAAAATGGAGTTGAGGGCTCCTGGGATTGACAGTCCCCTCCTTCATTTCGTCGCTTGATGAAACAGGAGGGAGAGATGAAGCGCTGGGACCGACCATGATGGGGAGAACGAACACAGAGACAGAACTGGGACAGCCTTTGCCCTTCCATCTGTCCCAGGGCTCTTCCCCTGCAGGGAGAAGGGCGTTTTCCCTATTGAAGCAGCACTTTGTTCCTCATCAATTATTCACCTGCTGCAGTTTCCCCGCAGCTGGGCACAGCACCCAGACAGGCACTGCCACCGCCACCGGGAAGGTGACGGGGCTCCAGAGGCTCCTCGACACACCGGCTCCTGCTGCTGCCTTCACCAAAACCACACTGGGAAACCCGGGAGTTTGATCACATTCCCCAACAGAGCCCAATTTAATAAAGCCAGTGCTTCAAGGGTATCACAATATTCTGGGCTGCCCAGTTCAAGAGAGACAGGGAACAACTGGAGAGAGTCCAGCGTGGGGCAACAAAAATGATTAAGGGATTGGAGCATCTCCCTGATGAGGAAAGGCTGAGAGAGCTGGGACTCTTCAGCCTGGAGAAGAGAAGGCTGAGGGGAGACCTTATTAATGCTGACAAGGATCTAAAGGGTGGGCTGAAGGAGGATGGAGCCGGACTCTTTCCAGTGGTTCCCAGTGACAGGACAAGGGGCAACGGGCACAAGCTGGACCATGGGAAGTTCCACTCCAATGTGAGGAAGAACTTCTTTGGGGTGAGGGTGGCAGAGCCCTGGCACAGGCTGCCCAGGGAGGGTGTGGAGTCCCCTTCTCTGGAGATCTTCAAGCCCCACCTGGATGCTCCTGAGTGATGTGCTCTGGGCAGCCCTGCTTTGGCAGGGGGGTTGGACTAGAGGGTCTCTAGAAGGTCCCTTCCAACTCTGACAATTCCACAATCACTGATTTTAATGAGACAGTTGGGTTGTGGTCAAATTTACAGGCAAGCACCCCCCGTGAAAGCGCTCTCCTTTCCACCCCATGTAAACATCTATTTAAAAACAAAAACCCTGCAACCGGCGTTTGTCTCCCGGCTGTTGGAGAAACTGAAACTGCGAGTTTCATGGGGAACAGCCCCACCGCCAGAGACGCGGCTGCTGAGGGGTGCGGGGCATTATCCCAGGCTCCGGGAGCCGGTCCGGGAAACGACTGGAACTACACTGGAGGAGTTTAGTACTAAACACAGCCTTCCACGTTAATTTTGCCATCTGCGGATGACACGCGGGGGGTTTTACAGATAAAAACGTTGCAGCAAGGCAAAAAATAGAACTCTTTTGCTAAGTACAGAGAGAAAGAGAGACCCGGCAGGGGTTAGCGTGCAATCAACGACGGGAGGAAACGAACGGCTCTGTTCCCTCCTGACCGCAAAGCCTCGGCCCTGCCCGACAAGGCACCCGCAGCGCGGCGACACGACGGGACGGGACGGGAGGGAGGGAGCCCCGCGCCCCGGTCACCGCCGTCCCGGTTCCTCCTCCGAGACAACGCGCACCAGAAGCCGCCGCCCCGCCCCGGGGGGAGAGAGGGAACCCCCGGTAACGGCACGCCGGCTCCCGGGCGGGGTGGGAGAGGGGCGATCCCCCAGGAGCGGGACCCGCCGTCCCTCAGCCCCGGCTCCGCCGCACCCCGGCCCGTTCCGGTTCCGCCCCGCACCCCCCCGCG